ACAATGCAAGTATTTGCAGAAGATGGTTTTGCATTATGTCGCGAATGATTCCGTAGTTGTCAAAATAACTAACGAAAAAGCGTAAAGATTGTCAGTTTAGTTGTGTGAATCATCATTTTCTTTGTAATATCATCAAGAACCATATATGACTTACCCGCCTCGACCCTCGGTTCCAAAATCTTCGGAAAATATTAGCTGCACATTGCGAATGTAGTCCCGGGACCATAGAGGCTCAAAAACAAGATTTGAAAAGCGAAGCACGGATAGATTCTCCACGAGCTCCTTACCCAAGTAATGGTCAATCCTGAACAATTATCGATGAGTCGAAACTTTTCTCTCTAGCTTGTTAAAATTGAAAAAAAGAACCAATTGCACCTGAATATTTGGTCTTCTGTGAGATACTGCTTCAAACATCTTGTTAGATTACTCGATGATTCTAAGTCACGACCAAATGGCTTTTCAACAATGACCCTCGTCCAGCCATTTTTCGACGAAGCTTTAAGGCTAGCACATCTCACCACATCCACAAATATGTTTGGAGGTATTGACAAATAAAACAACCTGTTTGCAAGTTTTCCATCCTAGAAGAAACCATTATCAAATATATCAAAGTATGGTCTCAAACTCGATCTCCAGAACTAAGGATCCTCTCCCATACTCGAGAGGCACGTGATACAAAAATAAAAGGAAATACAACTTGTTATGACACATTTATCCTCTTATTTACAATGAAATAACACTTTAACCATTGAAAACAAAACGAGCAACAAGAACTCCCCTCTCCGTTATCCTTGTTCGATCTATAATTGATAAGAGAAACTTTTTGTACTACCACTGTTTTGATTTTCAAATAACCACTACTCTATATAGGTTTTTGCACCCTTGGTCCAATCTCCAATGAGAAAAAGATCTTCCAAAACTAAGCATTTAAACCCGTTTACGTTTCGGGGATATTTCAATTTTACAAGCATTTATGTTGAATAATACCATACAAAACCAGATAAAGTGGTCTTTGTTGCATTATTTCTATGAGAATGTTTGTTTTTCGGAGGAAATGTTTTTCAGGATGGTACCTCTTTCTCTTTGAGTTTGCAATCCAAATCTGAAAAATGGTCCTCAGAATTGTACAAACCAGAATGGTAAAAGCACCTTTTTAAGAATTGATCCATTTTGTCTTCACAGTTTTCCCTGCAAGTTCAAAACTATCAATATATACAAAATGAAAGGAAGTTTATCACAATAGCATTTACCTCTTATCGATTCTGCATGTTAGAGTTCGGCTAATCATATTCCTTAATTCTTCATCAGTCATTTTAGTCCGTGCATATCCAAACACAATAAAATTCTGCATAATGAGTACAAATACAGAACCTCAAATGTAATGTTAGAAAACATTTCAATCATCTAAGTCATCGCAATTCATCGATATTTAGGCATCGCCGAAACTAGATACTATGAAAAGTAGGACCTCGGGTAGCCAATCTTCGTAATAAAGCGCGAAGAGTGCTGGAAATATCTTCTTTTTCGCAAGGTCTCCAGAAGCTCCAACAACAGTTATGCTAAGGTTGGATCCTTTGCATTCTGAGCCTGCCAATGGAAATGATCCTTCAACTGGTTGATGCTTTTTATCTTCTTTAGCCAGTGAAATTCCAGCCAAACCTACTTAACATATGTCAGTATATGATATATGATTTTTAACTAAAAAACTCGGCTAGCGCACGAGGCTCCCACTTAACCCCGCAAACAGAGAGGCTGTTTCCAGGATTTGAAGTTGTAACCTAATGGTCATTAAACAACAACCTTAACGTTGTGCCAAGTGCTCAATAAACATATAAGCACTCATTAAAAACAAGTAAATGGAGTTAAAAATAAGATGTGATTTTAGTGCAACAGGACAAAGCAAAAACTTAACTATAGGTGAGTCCATAGTATTGACTCAGATTGGCTCATTTCAATTACTTGCCAACTTCCTTTATTATAAATATTTCAAACAATGAGGGGAAGAAAAAGAACCAACAAGTACGGTTTTTTTAAGGGTCTCTTCGCGAGTTGGGTTTTAGAGGGAAGAGAGGGAAATAGAAGACTTTATAGCTATGATGAGTGTTTTAAATTGCGGTCGCGATCGCGATTGCGGTAACGGTTCCGGTTACTGTGATTGTGGTCATTAAGGCCGTTGCGGTGTGAATTATTTTGTGATAAAAACAATATTTTTGAATCCTATGCTGTCTGATGCGGTTCAAATGCAGTCCGATGCGGTTGCGTTGCGGCCCATGCTGCCGAATCAATGTGATTCGGAGTCACTGCTACCGCAATATTGCAACTGATGCGGTCTACAATTTAAATTACTGACTATGACATACACTTGGGAGATAACTATATGTAGATTAAGAAATGAGAATGGCACTGGAAGGTGCATCATAGATGTTCTCTGCAATAAAATTAATCTGGTTTAAATATTTTAAAATATAGCTAGCTCTTTTGGTTTTAGTCCTTCTATGCCCCTAACTAAACTTTATTACACAAGATGATGCTCCCTAATGGATTAAAAGGCACCATAACGAGCTAAATTTACAACAACAAACAAACCTTAATCTCACTAGGTGAGGTCGGCTACATGGATCAAACAACATTATAATGATCAATCATAAATCATTTCATTGACAAAACATTGATCTCTGAATCATCTTTCCTAATCGTTTCGGCTATGATTTTTTTCAATAACTAGCTAAATTTACAACAACAAATAAACCTTAATCTCACTGGGTGAGGTCGACTACATGGATCAAACAACATTATAATGCTCTATCATAAATCATTTTAGTCACAAAACATTGATCTATGATCATCTTTCCTGATCGTTTCACCTATAATTTTCTTCGAGCTAAAGTTAACCTTCATAATATATGTAACAACATTAAATAAAAAACAAGTGAATTATGTAAAAAAATGATGAACATATGAGAATAAAGAACACACCATCATGAGAAGAAACAACATTTAGAGGTAACCCATTTGAGGATCTGAGATGAAAATGGTTACTAGCTCGGCTTCCAAGGCAAATGCAAGAAAACAATAAGGATGAGTTTTTTCTTCCTTTGACTGCATTGAATTTACTATGAAATTGTGAATCATTCTTCAATGCATAGGACATAACATTGGTTGAAGAAGAACCAACAATAGTAGCCATGTAATTTTGTTTAAGCTACAAACTACAAAATCCAATTCAAGAAACATCTATGTTGTGTTGGAATTCAGTTTATATAGTTAGTTGTTGAAGTAAATAGATAATGTTTTAGTTCACTGTCATGGCTTATGATCATGAATGTGACATTTTTACCAAAACTACCCTTTGTGTTAGGAAAGTGAGTAAATCAGATAAGGGGTTATTTTGTAAATACATCATATGAATATCTTCAATGTGAGGTCCAAATTTTTCTTTCACCAACTTATTAAATTTTTCTTTATATGGAAGAAATTTAAGTTACCCTCTAAAGCTTTTTTTTCTTTCAATTGTCAAAACGTTTTTGTTACTGTATATAACATCCAAGCCTTCATTCTAAAAATGAGGTTGCCTAAATGCATTGGATCAAGCCTTTACTACAATATACTATTAAAATAACTGCAATGGATACCTACAAAACTAGTTTACGGGTACTGCATATATATTTTAATTAAATATTTTATACTTAATTATTATATTTTAAGTCTATTTTATTATTATTTTACAATAAAATTTAATGATGAGACTAATCATAAAAGTATCAAATAAATATCATATTATTCAAGTAATAATTATTTTTTTTATATTAATTATTGTAAAATATAATTAAAATTGAAAACTCATTAGCTACATGTGGATACCCATTACACACATGAGTACCCATAAATAGTACGAGTATGCATTACTCGTGTCCGCTCGCCCCTATTACCACCCTAGTACAACAACAAAATTTATATGGTTTTTTTTATGACATCTTCTAAAAATTAGACAAAATTCTATTTGATTTATCTATATTTAGTGAGACTTAAAAAAATCATTTTCACAAATGTCCAAATCACCTAAAATATGATTCTACCATATTTTCTATAATAAGAGTTACTAAGGTATGATTCTATCATTTTTTCCACAATATGAGCTACTCCAAGTTTCTATATATTACATTTATTTATAATATTATGTTTAGTGTGTCCAATCATTCAACACAAAATTTTCCTTTGAAGTTTATTTTCTCGTAGACATTTTACTTTTAAGCTAGAGTGTTACATTTCTATCACATATGACAAGTAAAGGACTCCGTCATTTTATACACCTCACTTGAATCTTATGCTTTATATGTTTGTCAATTTCTTCATCGTATATAAGATTGACCCAAAATATTTAAATCTTATGACTTGTGGTATGGTATGATATTCAATTTTTACCTCTATAATAGGGTTTGTCTGCTTCTTGCTAATCTCACACTCTATAGACTTCATCTTACTTGGACTTATACGAAAATCATATGTTTCTAAAGCTTGTCTATGCATTTTTAGTTTCTCATTTAATTTCTCTCTCAAATCTCAAAGTAGGAGAACTTCATCCAAAAAAGCATGCATTGTGTCACTAGATCTTGGATATGCTCAATAAGTACATCTAAGATCATTCTAAACAAGTAGGGGCACAATGAATTATTGTTATAGTCTTATAACAATAGAAAATCTACTCATACCTTATCTTTTAAATTCTTACCCAATTCTTAACTTTATGGTATATATTCTTAATCCAAATTCTTCATTAGTAGATTTGTTGTCAAATGTAATCCATATTTATATACTATATAATAAAAAAAATGTTCTGTCATTATTTATTATCTAGTATATTATTTTTATTTTTAATATCATTGTAATGTTTTTTTTATCGGCAAATGTTAGTTGTGGACGAGACTTGAACCCCCAACTTCCTTCACTTCACTCATCCTCTTTAAGAATCAACCCACCTTATAACTCCTTTTTTGAAAATTTGCTATGGGTGAGACTCGAACCCACAACCTCCTTCACCCTATTCCTTAAGTCTTTCACCTTAACCACTAGGCCACCTTATGACTCCAAATATCATTGTAATGTAAATTGTATGACATATTTCTTTATCTATACATTTAATATTGTTAGGCATACTTTAGCTATTTCATCTCTACTCCATTCATCTCACTTTTTTTGTCTGAGGAATATAATAACTATCAGTCACTGGAGTTGAATAGTTTTATTAATGAAAATATAATCATTTTATAAATCTACTCTAATATAAGATAGTTTTTCCATTTATTCATGAAAAGAGGCCCAATCTTTTAAGCCAAAATAGATTTTTCCTTTATATCTATTAGATACTATTGTTAGGGGAGTCACTCACAATAGAACAATATGCTAGTATGAGAAATGAGAACAATTAATATGGACCTTTCGATCTTATTTGAATGATCATGATTCAAATATTATCGTACATGACTATCATATGACCAATAACTAACTTTTAATCCTAACCATCTATAATTGGTTGTAAGACTCAAATTTATTGTTCTCACGTTATTAGTTTGTTAGGAAGTTACTTAGCCAACCGTATCAGTTAGTTTATTAAGTATACCAGCTGGTACAATCCTTAGGCTTAGCCTCTAACCGATCTATAAATAGTGGTTTGCTCTTTGTCATCATTATGATATAATACAATAACTAGCAAGTTACCCGTGCATTTGCACATGTACATTTTCTTGTCGTATGATTAAGAACCTACATATTATATGTACATTCATATGATTAAGAATATAGATATTACTTGTGCATTCGTATGGTTAAAACACATATGTTAATTGTGCATTCATATTGTTAAGAAAATACATGTGACTCATGCGTTCACATGGTTAAAAATACAGATGTTATCCATACATTCACATTAATAAGAACACATGTTACCCATGATTGCATAGTTCAAACACACATGTTATCTGTGCATTCGCATAGTTAAAACACACATATTACACGTACATTTGCATCGTTAAGAACACTTAGAACTAATAGTAGACATGTTCAGAATATTAAAAAAAATGAATATTCACCTCTTATAAATGTCCATTTATATGAATTTGTTTTCTGAACTATATAAGGAGTGTAGTATCTATATACCCTGAATGTAAAACTTTATACACAATCTGCATATCATCCGTCACTCATCTGTACTAATTCTTTTTTGAATTAAACATGAATGATGCAATAACAATATATCAAACTTATACACTATCGGTGAATACACCATTTTCTTGTATAAAAATCTAAATTATTGCTCGAAGTCATGAATGTGTGTAAACATAATCTCATATAAAAAATATATTTTAGTGTGTCATTTGTTAGTACACACTACATAGGAACAATACTTGAATTGTGACATTGTTTTGCATTTCATTTTTTCTTGCATAATCAATTTAATTTCCATCATTGTTTGTGCATTTCGTTTTTCTTACATAATCAATTTTCTTTTAATCATTGTTTGTGAAGCTCAATTTTTTTCTGCTCATTTGTATCCAAATTTCTTCTCATACACACATTTTAAATATTTTGTCATTGTTCTATAAAAAATAACATTGTTTATTTATTTGTATGTCATTTTTAATGTATTAGCTAATAAAATTAATGATATTGATCATGAAGATTGATTTCATAAAGGAGTTTTTCACCTTATGTGTGAGGTTGCATACTAAGAGGTAGATAGCTTTTGGAGGGAGATTTTTGCATGAGGTGATGACCCTAACTTATATCACAAATGTATAAAAGATGAAAAACTCTCGCTAACCAGTCTGGACAACTCTCGCTTGAGCGAGGCATTCTCGCTTGAGCGAGAGCATTAGAGTTTGAAATTTAAAATGTCGAGGGTTTTTCGCCCAAGCGAGCCATTCTCGCCCGAGCGAGAACCCGATAATCTGAACCTTAAAATAAATGTCCAAAATGAAATTTGGGACACTTTTTGGTGAAAGGAAAAGGGAAGAAAAAGCTCTCCACCCCATTCCGTGTAGAAGTGAAGGAAAGAGCTTGGAAAGAGGTAAACTCCCTCTTCTTTAAAACCCATTATTGTTCATAAGGATCTATTCTCTCATGGGGAAAATCGGTTAACATAGTGTTGATTTTGAGAACCATTGAGTTAAAAATGAAATGGTTATGAACGAAAATGGTGAATGAAGCTAAAAAAGGGTTTAGGGGTTTATGAGTAAATTTAAGTCTTTAAAAATTATAGTATCAGTCCTGGGATTCTCGCTTGAGCGAGGGATTCTTGCCTAGGCGAGAAAGGCTCACCTGGGAGGGTGAAATCTTGGGCTATACTAAAGGATTCTCGCCTGAGCGAGGGTTGGCTCGCTTGAGCGAGAGTGGTCTCGCCTGAGCGAGAGTTGGCTCGCTTGGGCGAGAAAGGCTCAACTGGAAGGGTGAAATCCTGGGCTATACGGAAGGGTTCTGACCTGAGCGAGAGATTGGCTCGCCTGGGCGAGAAAAATGATATTTTGGACCTGTCGAGGCTGTAAGATTCTCGCATGAGCGAGAGGATTCTCGCTTGAGCGAGAGATGCCTCGCTCGGGCGAGAGTTACCTCTCCTGGGCGAGAGGGTCAGATCTGAGTTTTTAAAATGGGCGGGATTTTCTCGCTTGAGCGAGAATGAGCTCGCTTAAGCGAGAGCCCGACGAGTGCATTAAATGAGGAGGACCCCAAACACATTTTAGGGTTAAGATTTGAAGAGAGGTGAGAGAAGAAAGCTTTTCCAAGGGCAAGAAGCTTTGATTCTCATCCAAGAGCTTGAGAAGAGGTAAAACTCTTGATTATAACTGTCTTCTTCCCTTTGAAACTCATTTTGGGTATGTTGGATCTCTTCTCAAAATATGAGAAACCATGGAAACTCACCCTTTTGAGTTATGGTTCGTTTTATGTTGTTTTTCTCTTCTAAACTCTTGGTTTAGAGTTAGTATTTCGAGAATGGAAAGAGTTTGTGGGTTGATTCATGAAAACCCCAAAAGCCTAAAGTGAAAATGGGTAAAATGTTAGAGGTAGAAGATGAGTTTACATTCTAATGTTGAAATATGAGATGAATATGTATGTTTTGGATGGTTGTAAACTTATGATGAAAGTAGTTTAGAAACATTAAAAATATGATGAATATCTTGTATGGTTAAATAATGCAATATAAGTTGTTTATGTGATATTTGAGATAAATGACTAACATTGTGTTATATGGTGGGAATGAGGAAAGATCCTAAAGTTGGAGGCGGTGTCGGTGGAACTTGCGAAGTTGCCAAGAACCAAACCCAACACTCACCAAGGTAAGGATAAGTCTTTAACTTGTGTATTGTGATAGAAAATGCGTGGATTTTCTGGTTATGGATAATGAAATGAGTTGTGAATCACTTAATTGTTATAAGCATATATGGGTATGTTTGTAATGATGATGGTGTGAATTTACTGTTTATGAATTGATGGAGTGTTAATGAAAAGAAAACTCGTTTTTAGCCGACCATGAGTGGTTAGCGACTTTGGCTCAAGTAATGTAGCAAGCTTTGGCTCAAGCGATGTAGCAAGCTTTGGCTCAAGCGATGTAGCAAGCTTTGGCTCAAGCGATGTAGCAAGCTTTGGCTCAAGGGATGTAGCAAGCTTTGGCTCAAGCGATGTAGCAAACTTTGGCTCAAGCGATGTAGCAAGCTTTGGCTCAAGCGATGTAGTAAACTTTAGCTGAAGTTATGTAGCATGTTTTCAAAGAAAAGAGAAATCGGTTTTAGCTAACCTTAAGAGGTGTAGCGGCTTTGGCTCAAGCAATGTAGCAAACTTTGGCTCAAGTTATGTAGCATGATTTTCAAAAGTATAAACAAAAGAAATGGTTTTAAGTGTATTTAACTTTAATTGATTACTTAACTTTATTAAAATGTGGATTGACATACATTGACAATTTTTACGTTAACGACTTACTCCTTTGTGTTTTCTGTGTATGGTCAATGTTAATCCCATTGCAGGTAGGAGGGAGAAGTACAGATGTTTTGAGTAGGAACTTAGAGGCTGTTGTTTTTGAAGTCATATTGTCCATTCTTTTTGTAATCTAATTGATCGTATTCTGAAACTGATTATTTGTAACTACGGGCATGCTTTTTGTACATGGATAATGGTAACTCGAGATATTTGTAGCTATGGGTGTTTTGGAAATCCATAGATAGTTGTATGCGGTTGTTACCGAGTGACATTAATATGAATTATGTTTTTCTGTCAAACGAATGTGCATGTTGTTAATTGTTTATGGAATTGAATATGAAGGAGAAGTGAAGACTTTTAAAGTAAGATTATTTTATTGGAAAAATGTAAATTTATATAAGAGTGTATGAAAGTAGATTAAAATAAGGAAAAATTTTCAAGGGTAGAATTTGGGTCTTTACAATGAGGTTTCTTAAAAAGGGAACATGTGCCTTATTTGAATGCTTTATATGTATTAGAGTTATAGTTTGTAAATGAATAGAAGTATTAACTTATTTCATGAATGAGTGTTATGTGTTGTTGTGAAATTTGTCTATTTGTATGACATGAATAATAATTTGGTTATTGTTGTTTTTGTCATGGAATATGGTAAAAGATCCTAAGGTTGGAAGAGGAGAGGAAAAATCCAACAAAGTTGAAGAACGGAAACGCTAACTCCTACTCAGGTAAGAGAGAAGCGTTTTACTTAATTGTGTATGAATATGTTGCATATTATCTGGAAATCCATTGATGAATGGAAGATGTGAGTTATGAGTATCGATTGTGATTTTGGTAAATCTTGGCCCTTTGGGGTGTAGAGTAAAATCTTGGCCCATTGTGGCGTAGTATAAATCTTGGCTACCCGATGTGGTTTAGCAAATATTGGCCCTTTGTGGCGTATTATGTAATCTTGGCCCATGGTGGTATATTATAAAATTTTGACCCTTGTGTTGTAGTGTAATTCTTGACCCTCAAATGGTGTAATGTAAAAATTTGACCTAAGGATGAGTAATCTAAATTGTGATGAGTTTGAATGGTAATAATGAGTGATGTTATGGCTTGATAGTGCGTGAGGTAT